GTAAATATTTGTTGTTGCCAGTTTTTTTTTTTTTCTTTGCAAAACTTAAACTTAGTTTAGCTATAATTTAATGAAGAATCTATTTCCTTTTTTTAGCTACAAGTGGTCCTTCAGACCAAACAACAGCAATCATTCACTTTCTCTCTCTCTCTCTATGCCAACCTGCAACCAACCAATATAAAGTCAACCTTAGTAACATCTTGTACAATAAATTTTTGTTGTTGTAGCTATTTAAACATTTTTTTTATTTCATTTAAACTTTTTAACTTTTTTTATTGTTCGTTTTACTTATTTTTTATTTCACTCCTGCTGCTGCTGTTTCTGTTCTCATGCTCCTCTTTACTTCCTGTTTACACTACATTACCAAGGAATTACACTTACACTCTGCTGTACATGTAATGTTGTGCATACAAAAGCAATTTTGTTATTATTAAATGTGTTGGTGCATGTAAATGTGTGGCATCCACTCAGGCATTGTTAAGACTCTGCTAAACTAAAAGCAGCACAAGGTGGTATTCATGTCACACACAGTTAATGCGGCAGCGACAGCCGGTTGCTGCAGCTGTAACTGCATCAAAAACTGTTGCATTTCCTTTGTGTTTATTAAGTTTAATACTTTTTTTAAGAGTGCTGCACAGTTTTGCGTTTATTTTTCCCCCTTTTTAAATATACATATGTATGTATGTCGCTGCAGAGAGGAAAAATAAAGTTTTCATATTGAAAATTTCATTAAACTTTAAAATTTTGCTTTTGTATACAAAAAGTATAACATGCATACAAACAGAAGGCACACATTCTTAACAATAAATAATATTGCACTGTGGGTCAGTGTGATTAGGATAAATAAAACATCATTTATGCACGGAATGGATATTATAAAAATCGACCACTATAGACTAGACTATAGACTAGACTATAGACTAGACTATAGACTAGACTATAGACTAGAACTATAGAATAGACTATATACTAGACTATAGACTAGACTATAGACTAGACTATAGACATAGACTAGACCTATAGACTACAGAGAACTAGACTAAGGACTAGACTATAGACTAGACTATAGACCTAGACTATAGACTAGCACTATAGACTAGACTATAGACTAACTATAAGACCTAGACTATAGCACTAAGACTATAGACTAGACCTATAGACTAGACTATAGACTAGACTATAGACTAGACTAATAGACTAGACTATAAGACTAGACTATAACTAGACGAAGACTAGACTATAGACTAGACTATAGACTAGACTATAGACTAGATCTATAGACTAGACTATAGACTAGACTATAGACTAGACTATAGACTAGACTATAGACTAGACTATAGACTAGCTATAGACTAGACTATAGACTAGACCTATAGACTAGACGATAGACTAGAACTATAGACTAGACTATAACTAGACTAGAGACTAGACTATAGACTAGACTATAGACTAGACTATAGACTACTTAGACTACTAGAACTAGACTATAGACTAGAGTCTATAGACTAGACTATAGACTAGACTAATAGACTAGAACTATAGACTAGACTATAGACTTAGAGCTACTATGACTAGACTATAGTACTAGACTATAGACTAGACTATAGACTAGACTATAGACTAGATAGACTAGACTATAGACTAGACTATAGACTAGACTATAGACTAGACTATAGACTAGACTATAGACTAGACTATAGACTAGACTATAGACTAGACTATAGACTAGACTATAGACTAGACTATAGACTAGACTATAGACTAGACTAGACTAGACTATAGACTAGACTATAGACTAGACTATAGACTAGACTTAGACTAGACTATAGACTAGACTATAGACTAGACTATAGACTAGACTATAGACTAGACTATAGACTAGACTATAGACTAGACTATAGACTAGACTATAGACTAGACTATAGACTAGACTATAGACTAGACTATAGACTAGACTATAGACTAGACTATAGACTAGACTATAGACTGATATAGACTAGAATAAGACTAGACTATAGACTAGATAGACTAGACTATAGACTAGACTATAGACTAGACTATAGACTAGACTATAGACTAGACTATAGACTAGATATAGACTAGACTATAGACTAGACTATAGACTAGACTAGAGACTAGACTATAGACTAGACTATAGACTAGACTATAGACTAGACTATAGACTAGACTATAGACTAGACTATAGACTAGACTATAGACTAGACTATAGACTAGACTATAGACTAGACTATAGACTAGACTATAGACTAGACTATAGACTAGACTATAGACTAGACTATGACTAGACTATAGACTAGACTATAGACTAGACTATAGACTAGACTATAGACTAGACTATAGACTAGACTATAGACTAGACTATAGACTAGACTATAGACTAGACTATAGACTAGACTATAGACTAGACTAGACTAGACTATAGACTAGACTATAGACTAGACTATAGACTAGACTATAGACTAGACTATAGACTAGACTATAGACTAGACTATAGACTAGACTATAGACTAGACTATAGACTAGACTATAGACTAGATAGACTAGACTATAGACTAGACTATAGACTAGACTATAGACTAGACTATAGACTAGACTATAGACTAGACTATAGACTAGACTAGACTAGACTATAGACTAGACTATAGACTAGACTATAGACTAGACTATAGACTAGACTATAGACTAGACTATAGACTAGACTATAGACTAGACTATAGACTAGACTATAGACTAGACTATAGACTAGACTATAGACTAGACTATAGACTAGACTATAGACTAGACTAGACTAGATATAGACTAGACTATAGACTAGACTATAGACTAGACTAGAAGACTAGACTATAGACTAGACTATAGACTAGACTATAGACTAGGCTATAGACTAGACTATAGACTAGACTATAGACTAGACTATAGACTAGACTATAGACTAGACTATAGACTAGACTATAGACTAGACTATAGACTAGACTATAGACTAGACTATAGACTAGACTATAGACTAGACTATAGACTAGACTAAGACTAGACTATAGACTAGACTATAGACTAGACTATAGACTAGACTATAGACTAGACTATAGACTAGACTATAGACTAGACTATAGACTAGACTATAGACTAGACTATAGACTAGACTATAGACTAGACTATAGACTAGACTATAGACTAGATAGACTAGACTATAGACTAGACTATAGACTAGACTATAGACTAGACTATAGACTAGACTATAGAGACTATAGACTAGACTATAGACTAGACTAGAGACTAGACTATAGAACTAGACTCTATAGACTAGACTATAGACTAGACTATAGACTAGACTATAGACTAGACTATAGACTAGACTATGACTAGACTATAGACTAGACTATAGACTAGACTATAGACTAGACTATAGACTAGACTATAGACTAGACTATAGACTAGACTATAGACTAGACTATAGACTAGACTATAGACGACTATAGACTAGACTATAGACTAGACTATAGACTAGACTATAGACTAGACTATAGACTAGACTATAGACTAGACTAGACTAGACTATAGACTAGACTATAGACTAGACTATAGACTAGACTATAGACTAGACTATAGACTAGACTATAGACTAGACTATAGACTAGACTAAGACTAGACTATAGACTAGACTATAGGACTAGACTATAGACTAGACTATAGACTAGGACTATAGACTAGACTATAGACTAGACTATAGACTAGACTATAGACTAGACTATAGACTAGACTATAGACTAGACTATAGACTAGACTATAGGACTAGACTATAGACTAGACTATAGACTAGACTATAGACTAGGACTATAGACTAGGACTATAGACTAGACTATAGACTAGACTATAGACTAGACTATAGACTACTATAGACTACACTAACCTCGACAAACAGAACGCAAATTACCGTCCGTATATAATGAAAGCTCCATAGTCTACCTTTGCAATAAACTCCGCAGCAATAATGAAAATTACAGCATATAAAAGCAAATTTCCTACAGAAATTCCACTATTCTCCATTAAATCCACAAAAATCTCTTTTGTCGTTCCTACAAAGCAAATTACAATAATGAATGTAAATTGTAATATCAACTTTAATTTATACACTTTCGTTCCAAGTATGCACCATAGTGCAAAAGAATTTCAAAGAGAATAAATTGACTGGTTGCTTGGATGTCTGTCAATTTGACACAGTGACTCTCTAACATTTTATAGTCTATTTAAATGTAACCCAAGTGGCCTTGTTCCTCCGACATTTGTGGAGCATTGTGGTGGTTACCGCTAGGGATAATAAAACTGACTGCTTATCTATCTCAGTTAAAAAAATATACATTCCACAAATGTTTACTGCTGCTTGGCGGTGTTCACAAATGTATACAATTGTTTTGCTACGACTGTGAGCGGCTGATGATAGTATTTCTTTGGAATATTTTTCCTCTCAAGTTTTTTGTTTTTTTAAATTTCATTCATTGGTTTATGGTTGATTGAAAAGTGACTGGGATTTTATGGTTTCACAATAAATCCTTATGTAAGTCGTTTCTTAGTTTTTATTTTGCAAGCATTTTAAGTGGGTTTTGATGTTTTTATTGCAGGGAAATACATGTATAATAAAAACAAAATGCTTTTCAGTTTTTCAACTGCAACGGAGGGAAATTTCCATTGAAGGTTTCAATTTGTAGTTTAAAGGTTGTAAACAGGAAGAAACTCAGCATAGGATTACTAGTATAATACCAATGCAGAGTTGAATGGTTGGTTGGCTGGCAGGCTGTTCGCAATCTCTAAATTAAAAAAGTAATCCTTTAATGGAGTACAGTAACTCAAGGAAATTTATTCACTGAATAACTTTAATCAAATACTTAATGACGAATTATATTCGACGGAAACAAGTTATTTTAATATTAAACTCTTTACATTTTTAAAGATTTATAATTTTTATCACGTTATCTTTCTTTCAGAAACATAATTTTGTTACGACTAAACTATATAGTGATGGATATGTTGGAAATATTTGAAAACCTTAACAGATAAATAAGAAAATATTACACAAAATGATGAACAGCCAGTTGGGCAATGGTGAACATGAAGTGGAGGAATATGAGGTGGACTCAATAGAGATCAACAATCGTTCAGATCCCATTTACTCTATCAAACCGGATTTCATAACACAATGGTGAGTAGAATTTCAAAAATAACTACAACTTCTAAAATGAAATCTCTTTAATTTTTGTTTCTCTTCTAAGGCGCTTGAAAAAGGAACGTGAAAATCTTTGTAAATCCATTTACAATCGTTTTGTGGAGCATAATGAGTGCAAACGTCTATTGCAAGCCTTTATTGGTGATAATGATGAACTGGAATTGTGGAGTAAACAGGATATTAAACAATTGGTGGCCTATATTAATGAAAGCACAAATGGCACTACAATTGAGGGTAATGCCTCGAGTGAGGTGGAAGGTCCTGCCTTGGTATTGCCACCCTTCGAACTGTGGCAAACCATAGCGATAGCAGTGTGTTTGGCTATTTGTATCATTTTGACAGTGGGTGGCAATATTTTAGTGCTGCTGGCCTTCATAGTGGATCGTAATATACGACAACCCAGTAATTATTTTATAGCTTCCTTAGCTGCCACGGATATGCTGATAGGTAAGTTTGTTTCCCCAGCAGAACTATTTCAAATTTTCTAAAATTTCATACTTTATTTTTATATTTAAAGGTACCGTTTCCATGCCTTTTTATACGGTCTATGTATTAATGGGCTACTGGGATTTGGGTCCTTTGTTATGTGATCTCTGGCTTTCGGTGGACTATACTGTGTGTTTGGTTTCACAATATACGGTGCTGCTGATAACCATAGATCGTTACTGTTCGGTAAAGATAGCCGCCAAATATAGAAGTTGGCGCACCAAACGGCGCGTCATATACATGGTGACAATAACTTGGATAATACCAGCCTTATTATTTTTCATATCCATTTTTGGTTGGGAACACTTCACCGGTAAACGTGACTTGTTGCCCGGTCAATGTGCTGTACAGTTTCTTAAGGATCCTGTATTTAATACAGCCCTTATCATAGGTTACTATTGGACTACACTGATAGTTTTATTTGTGCTCTATGGTGGCATTTATAAAACAGCCTATGAAATGCAGAAACGTAGCGAAGCTAAACAGCGTAAAATGCAATCTATGGTGGCTTTAAGTGCAGGAGCCATGTCCGGTATGGCAGGTCATGCCGCTGGTATAGGTGTTATAGAGGAGAAGATACTCAAAACCAAGGTGGAAATGGCCGGTGGACAAAATTCAGAAGCCGCTGAAATGGTTAAACGTTACAGCGGTTCGGGACAATCGAATCCTTTGGCCCAGGCGGCTGAAATCATTAATGGCGCTTTAGTGGAGGCAGTCAATGAACAACGACGTATATCCGATGCCAAAGGAAAAACAGACTCAAAACCTGATTCGGGAGAAGTAGAGAAGAGTGAGCGTTCCAGCAGTCCAGCTTTTGATTCTGATGAAGAATCCTCCGTCAATCAGGTGCAGCAGTTTATGAATCAACAAAAATTGGCCAATTTGCGCAAACGTTCTTCCATTGGCTTGGTGTTCGGAGCCCAGGCAGCTTTAATAGCCACCCGTAGTAAAGGTTTGTGTACTCCCACCTCCAAATCCAGTGAAGCCATGCCTTTGTCTTCTGGAGCAAATTCTCCCAACCAAAGCCATAAACTAGAAAGAGCACAAAGCAAAGAGGAAATTAGTCGCCATTCAATGGCGGAGAAAACTAAGAGAACCTCTTGTGCTACACTCTCCCAAATCGTTGAAACCGAACGCAAACCCAGTATAGTAGCAACTACTGTACAACCTGAAGACAATTCACCCCTATCTCCTGTCGATTTGGCTCCCATTGATGTACCCCGTGAACAAGTACAGCATAGTCTGGTACAGGCTATATTACCTCCTCCAGAACAATTCCAATGTGCTTCTTTGTTTTCCGAATGCTCGGAAAATCCCTTCGGAGATCGCAGTAGCAACAGTGAACTCCAACTTACCTACGACATGATGACAAATAATTCCGAAATACGTTATATGGATGAAAGTTCCATAGTCTTACCTTCACCCACAGCAAATGATGGCAGTCAGAGCAGCTCCTATCAACTCCCCAAACAGCCACCATTGAAAAAAATCACAAGTGCCGGCTCTCCTTTGCGTGCCAATCAAATTGCCAGTAGTCCTACACTGCTATCGCAGGCTTTGCAAAAAGCCCAACAGCAGCAACAACTAGAACAGCAAAAATCACAACCTCCCTCGGAACCACCACCAACACTACCACCATGTTCCAATAATAACAATAATGCACAAGGTGATTCCCTAACCCTTATATCCACCGAAATCTATTTTGCTCCCAGTTTTGAAAATCCCCCACAAGATGTTGAAATTGAAAAACAATTACTCGTTTCCTATACAGGTTTGGAAGACTTTGAGAAGATACGACGCGAAAGCTGCATAGATCTCATGATACTACCACATACAGCCAAACTGTTGGAGGAAGAGACACAGGTAAGGCGTAGCTCCAGCCCACCCACGGCCGGTATTATGCCCAGCAATGGTAATGCCAAGCAAACTACAACTGCCATTAAAACGGAAACGGCGACACCTACTACCAACACCACTCATACGACTGGTGTTAACAAAAGTCTTGATAAAATTGAGGAACGAGAGACCTCCGATACTACCAACAAAATTGCCTCCACCTCGGGTACTACTAGCTCGGCATCGACCGGTTTACAAAACACTTCGGCGGGGCCAAAACAACAGTCAGGCTCGGTAAAGTCACAAAAGAAGTCAACGACGACGTCAACGGCTAACACCAATCGCAGTTCCAGCAAAAGAGCCTTCATCCATTCCATAGGCAAACACTTTAAAAGTAAAAAAGCCACCATACCCCTGGTCATCGGAGTGGGTAGACAAAAATCCAAATCCGAAAATCGAGCAAGAAAAGCATTTCGTACTATTTCCTTTATATTGGGTTGTTTTGTGGCCTGTTGGACACCCTATCATGTCCTGGCCTTGGTTGAGGGTTTCTGCCGTAACCCGCCCTGTACCAATGAGCATTTGTATATGTTCTCCTACTTCCTATGCTATGCCAATAGTCCCATGAATCCCTTCTGTTATGCTTTAGCCAATCAACAATTTAAAAAGACATTTACAAGGATACTTAAGGGCGATTGGCATATGACTTAATTGATGATAATAATATTAATAAATTAATGAAGATAAAATACACTGGCACTCATATACACCCACACATACAGTGTGGAACAAAACTAATTGAACTGAAGTTTTTTTTACATTTAAAGAAAAGTTGGAGATTTATTTTTAATAGTGTTCTGTTAGAAAGACTGTGCTCTGTATGAGATAACTTTGAGGCAATTAGTTATGGTCGACACTGTATCTACAAATAGTAAAACACTTGATAAATAAATTACAATTGAAATGCTGCAAGTCGAAACTTGTAATTTTGTTGCTGGTAATTTGAAGCCACAGCAAAAAAAAAGGTTTTTCATCTGTAATTTAATTTACACTCCATTACACATACATGCATACATATCTACGACTGTGTGTGTCTGACACACACACTCACAAACATAAACATAACAACCAACACTTTTACACTTGGAAATAAATAAATATTTATATTTATGTTGTATATAGAATAATAATATTTAATAAAATATATAGAGTAGTAGCAAAGTTATTTATTTATCTACTTTTAATTAATTTTTATTTTTTATTAAAGAAAAAAACCAAAAACAAAAATCAAATACCATAAACCAATAAAAACCAAAAATGAAAGGAAAACATCAAATAAAATTCAAATAATATTATTAAAGAAATTGTAGTTGTTAAGAGCAGGTGAAAAAAAATATAAAAAGTTAAAATAATTATTTACAAACACACACACACATACACACACTAAATAAACAGGAGGAGACTGTTTTTACCCAAGTATTTTACAACTTTCTGTCTATTTATTTTATGTTTCTATTTTCCAAATAAATGCAAAAGAAAAAAAAAACTTAAAAATAACGGTTGAATGCACAATCTCATGAGCCCCTAGAATTGTGCTACAAATCGTGTTATAATTTTGTGGTTTTTATATACAAACGCAACTAACTACAAGAAAAATACTTTGCTAAAAACGGTCAAGAGGAAAATATTAAAAAATAAAAAAAAACAAAATTATAAAAAATGCCAACAATTTTTTACACTGAAACACACAAACATATACACTTAAAGACACACTGTGAAACAGGTCAATTTGTATTAAAATATAAAAAATGTCTATCAGTTTTATTTCCCTTTTTCAGTTGAACTCTCTTTTCTCTGTCTATTTCATTAACTTTAGGGTGAAAATGTAAATACAATTGTGCTCTGAGAAATAGCAGTATTTGAAAATATTCAACAGTTTGTTGTAAGTCTTCCATTAAAGGTCATTTTTTTTTTTATTTTAAGTTAAATTAAATTATTTCAATTCTGAATTATACAGTCTCAACTATAGTCTAGACTGAACATCCGACAATAGTCTGAATTTCAGTTTTAACTTGACTATAGTTTGAACTGGTTTATCGTCTGAACTATGGACTGGACTAAAGTCTAAACTGTATTCCCGATTACTGTCTTGACTATAGTTGCGACTACAGTCCTGTACTATGGTATGGACCATGGTTTGAACTGTGGACTAGTATATAATCTGAACATTATTCTGGACTTCACCCTCACTATAGTCTGCACTATAGTCTGGACTATAGTCTGGACTACAGTCTGCACTATAGACTGGACCATAGTCTGGACTATTGTCTGGACTATAGTCTGGACCATAGTCTGGACTATAGTCTGCACTATAGTCTGGACTATAGTCTGCACTATAGTCTGGACTATAGTCTGGACTATAGTCTGCACTATAGTCTGGACTATAGTCTGGACTATAGTCTGGACTATAGTCTGGACTATAGTCTGGACTATAATCAGGAATATAATCTGGAATATAATCTGGACTATAGTCTGGGCTATAATCTGGTCTATAGTCTGCACTATAGTCTGGACTATAGTCTGCACTATAGTCTGCACTATAGTCTGGACTATAGTCTGCACTATATTCTGTTCTATAGTCTGCACTATAGTCTACTCTGGACTAAAGTCTGCACTATTGTCTGTTACTATAGTCTGCACTATTGTCTGGACTATAGTCTGCACTATAGTCTGGACTATAGTCTGCTTTATAGTCAGTACAATAGTCTGGACTATAATCTATTCTTTAGTCTGGAACGTGGTCTGCACTATAGTCCAGACTATAGCCTGTACAATAGTCTGGACTATAGTCTACTCTTTAGTATGGACTATAGTCTGGGCTATAGTCTGCACTATAGTCTTCACTATAGTCTGCACTATAGTCTGCACTATAGTCTGGACTATAGTCCGTACTATATTCTGCTCTATAGTCAGGACTATAGTCTGCACAATAGTCTGCTCTATAGTCTGGACTATAGTCTGCTCTATATTCTGTATAATAGTCTGGACTATAGTCTACTCTTTAGTCTGGACAGTGGTCTGCACTATTGTCTGGACTATAGCCTGCACTATAGTCTGTACTATAGCCTGAACTATAGTCTACACTATAGTCTGCACTATAGTCTCTTAATCAGTCTGGACTACTGTCTGAAATATAGTCTGCACTTTATTCTGGAATACAGTCTGGATTACAGTTTACACTATAGACTGAACTTTAGCCTAGACTTTAGTGTGAACTATAGGCCCAGTATCAGACACACCACCCTATTTATAATTAAAAAATTTCCATTTGTTATTTATTACAAAAAAACTGCTGCTATTTTGCTCCCCACAATTGTGTGCTGCATTTAAACCCTCTCTTTATTTTTCCTACATAAATATGACTTTATGTACTTGTCTTTCGCTATTTTTTTTTTTTGCATGAAAATTAAAAACACCAAAATAAATAATAAAAAAAATAAATAAATTAAAATATTTATACATTTACAGAAATATTTAAAATTTACATAAAAAAGAAAAAACAAATTTGAAAACTTATAAGCAAAATAAATAAATAAAATATTTAGTATAAATGTTTGTATCAATGTAAAATTTAAGTTTACATATCATCATAAATAATTATCAGCAAACGCAAACAACATCATTATTTTCAAACTTTATCAAATTAAAATTATATGAAAACACTAGAGCGGATGTATGGATGAATGGACGAATGGATTGATAAATTTGGAATGGCTTTGGGTTAGAAGGTGTTTTGAATATTTAAAATAATTTTAGAATTTAAGTTTTAAAAAATCAAATTTTAGACAATAACTAATAAATACAAGAAGTTAAAGAAAAAAATAAAACTTAAAACAGAAATTTACATAAATATACAGAAAAAATTACTTGACATAAGTATTAAATGTAGTTTATATATAAATATAATACATACATAAAATACATATTTACATGCATATGATTATGTTTGCTACATATCAACATTGTATTGTGTTAATTATTACAAATAATATACTTGCAACTGAACAAATTTAATTAAAGACGTATTGCATATGTATTACTGGGAAATAAATCAAAATAAAATTTGCAATTTTATAATTTAAAATGTCTCAATTAATGGCAGGCAATACGATTTTATTATTACGCACTTACAATTAGTTTATTCATGTTCAAATGTAAACTATCATTTTGTATTGATGCGTTAAAACGGGGAATATAGGGACACTTAATGCTTTTTTTTAAATAGCCTACACCATGAAGTGCTTATCTATAAAAGAGTCATCCGATTTTCTTTGCTACAGTAGTCTGAACTATAGTCTATATTATAGCCTAGTCTGAATTATTATCTGATTTATAGTCTGGCTACAGTCGGGTTTGCACTTTAAACTAAAGTCTGGATTGCTCTCCAAGCATAGGCTGGATTGCAGTCTAAACTATAGTCTGAACTATAGTCTGGACTATAGTCTGGACTATAGTCTGAACTATAGTTTGGACTATATTCTGAACTATAGTCTGGGCTATATTCTGAACTATAGTCTGAACTAAAGCTTAATCTATAGTCTAGACTATAGGCTTAACTTCTAGCCTACAATATAGTCCGAACTCAAGACTTTTGTTCAGACAATAGTCTAAAATATAGTTTTCTAGTCTACACAATGACCTGGATAATAGTCTGAGCTTTAGACTAGGTTGTAGTCTGAACTATAATCTGGACTGTAGTATCAGCTTTGGTCTGGACAATAGTCGGAACTGTAGTCTGAATTATATGCTGGACTATAGATTGCTTAGACCAAGATTCGAATCAATTATCTGGATTATAGACTAAATAATAATCTGAACTATGACTTTAGACTGGGCTGTTGTCTTAACTGGACCACAGTCCAGACTACAGTTTGAATTATAGTCTGAACTTTAGTCTGTACTATATTCTGGTCTATAGACCTGGACTACTGACTGGGCTGATCTATAGACCAACTTAAGTCTGGGCTACAATCTGGACTGTAGTTTGGACTATTAGATAAACTATAGTCCGAACTCTAGACTTTAGTTCAGATAATATTCTGGACTATAGTTTGTTGAATAGTCTAGACCATATTCTAAACAATTGTCTGGACTAAAGTTTTAATTATAGTCTGGACTACATTTTGAACTATAGTCTGAACTAATGCCTACACAATAATGTCTACTAAAACTTTATAAAATGATTATAGTATGTACTATGCAATGTCGACTTAAACGTGTGCTACAGGACTATAGTTTGTTAAATGATCTAGATGATATTCTAAACCATTGTCTGGATTAAAGATTTAACTATAGTCTAAACTACAGTCTGAACTATAGTATGAAATAATGTCTACTAAAGCATTAAAAAATGATTATAGTATGGACTATGTAATCTCGACTCAAGCGTGGGCTACAGTCTCGTTATTAAAAAGTCTAATTCCCTCCCTTGTGAGTTAGTATATTGAGGCATCGTTAATGTAATTTTAAACTTTTCTTTAAAGTTTATTTCTAGTTACTTAGAAATATTTTCAGTTTATTTATCTAATTTCCCCAGTGCAAAAACCAAGTGTCAATTAATGTTTTTACAAAACATTTTACTTTTAAGAAAAAAACTTATTTATCTCTACTTGTTATCATTATAAGGATAAGTGTATAAGACATTATATACACAAATGTATTTAGCAATATGTAGTATGTATGTATGTATTTGTATATGTATTATATTTATATTAAAATTATATAATAACAAGTAAATTTATATAATTATAATGTAATAAATATTAAGTATATTTACTAGAATTTAATAGAATGAATTAAATATTAACAAAAGAAAAGAAAAATGATGATGATGAAGAAGAAGAAGAAAGTTATTACAAAAAAATTATAACAATAATAATTTAAATAAATTAAATTTAAAGTCTATAATGGCATATATTACTTGTATATATTTAAAGCTAAACAATAACAACAATAAATACATAATGACAAATATAACAATAAATAAAATTATTATAAATTCAAAACGTGTTAAATTTTATTACATTTTAAATGGCAGACAGATGACTATAAGGTAATGGAAAGATAATTTTTATATTAGAGTAAATACATTACATAGTAATGTTACATAATAACTGCTTTACAGCCTTAAAGTAGTTTAATGATTCAGAAAATAACTGAAGCCTAAAAATATGTTAACACAATATGTTAACACGAAAATCATTCATGTTTGAATTATTAAACAAATTGAAAATTTAAATTTTTTAACGTCAACTGTTAAGGTTTGCTGGGACTTATTGTATTTCCTTATAACAAAATCAAAACTGGTTTAACTATATTATATAACATTTATATTTATTTAATTGTTATGTTTATTAATAAAATTTAATACTTTAAAAAAAAAAGCTGTAAGTTCAATGGAAATATTTGTTTACTTCCTTACAAATAAAAACCATTTCCTTCTAAGGGTTAAAAACTATTATTATTTATTTACTTAGCAAAAATATTCCATAGTCCATCAAACACGTGATTTAAGTTAAGCTGCAGCAGTTGCTATTGCAGTTAGCTGCCACTGCTATTAAATTACAAAAGTTGCCGGCGTTAAGTGGTTTTGTTTAAACACGAAACACGCTTCAAGTCTATTTAAATACGGTTATATATTTATTTGTATGACTACATACTCATACTATTTAATTAACAATTGACTAATTAACTCGTTAGTGACGCAAATTTAAATAAAATTTTAAATGATTTTCAAAATATTAAAAAAAAAATCAAATATTTATTGTTAATTATAAACATTCTAAAATCTTGTGCAAAAAAATATTTTAAAAAATTCAAATATTTATTGTTGATTATAAACATTCTAAAATCTTGTGACGAAGATATTCAAACAAGATACCCTACACCCTAGTCCGGCCTACAGTCTGAATTACAGTCCAGACAAAAGTCTAGACTATTGTATAAATCAGAGTGTCGAATATAGTTTGGACTACAGTCGGCTGTAGTCTATAGTGCAGACTAAAGATGAGAGTCTAGATTATAGTCTGGACTACGGTCTCAACTGAATTGGACTAGACTACTGGCTCGACTATAGTCTAGACTAAAATCTCGACCATTGTCTGGATTGCCATCTCGATCATAGTATAGACAATGTTCTGGATTACAACATCGACAAATCTATTACCTGTCTGGACTACAGTCTCGACTATAGTCTGTACTAGAGTCTCAACTATAGTCTGGATTGGCTTTTACTACTGTCTCGACTACTGTCTGGACTACAGTCTCGTCTAGTCAGGCCTATAGTCTGAATCACAGTCGAGACAAAAGTCTAGACTATAGTATAAATAGAGTTTCGCATATAGTCGGGACTACTGCCGTCTGTAGTCTATGGTGCAGACTAAAATTGAGAGTCTAGATTATAGTCTGCACTACGGTCTCAACTGAATTGGGCTAAACTACTGTCTGGACTAAAATCTCGACCATTGTCTGGATTGCCATCTCAATAATAGTATAGACAATAGTCTCCATGACAACATCAACAAATATATTATCTGTCTGGACTACAGTCTCGACTATAGTCTGCACTAGAGTCTCGACTACAGTTTGGACTACAGTCTCGACTATAGTTTGGACTACAGTCTCGACTATAGTTTGGACTACAGTCTCGACTATAGTTTGGACTACAGTCTCGACTATAGTCTGGACTACAGTCTCGACTATAGTTTGGACTACAGTCTCGACTATAGTCTGGACTACAGTCTCGACTACAGTCTCGACTATAGTCTGGGCTACAGTCTCGACGATTGTCTGGACTACAGTCTCGACTATACTCTGAACTACAGTCTCGACTATACTCTGAACTATAGTCTCGACTATACTCTGAACTACAGTCTGGACTATATTTTAAACTACAGTCTCGACTATAGTCTGGACTACAGTCTCGACTATAGTCTGGACTACAGTCTCGACTATAGTCTGGACTACAGTCTCGACTATAGTCTGGACTACAGTCTCGACTATAGTCTGGACTACAGTCTCGACTATAGTCTGGACTACAATATCAGCTATAGTCTGGACTATAGCATCGACTAATGTTTCAACTTCCTTCTCGACTATAGTTTGGAAAAAAGTTTTGGAATACAGTCTCGACTATATACTAGACACAGTCTCGACTCGACCACTTAATTCTGTATTACAGTATTGACTACAGTCGCGAATATAGTCTGGACTACTGTTTCGAATATAGATTGGAGCATAGTCTGGAATATAGTCTGGACTACAGTCCCGACTATTGACTTCAGTCTTGATTATTGTCTGGACTACAGCATAAACTATAGTTTGGACTACAGTATGGACTATAGTCTGGAGAACAGTCTCGACTGTTGTCTGAACTGCAGTCTCGAATATAGTTTTAACTACAATCTCGACTAAAGTCTATACCTCGAGTATAGTCTGGACTACAATCTCGACTATAGCTTGTCTATACTTGAGTCTGGGCTACTGCCTTGACTTTAGTAGTAGGGACTACAGTCTCTACTATAGTCTGGACTACAGTGTTTGACTTCCGTCTCCGCTTCAGTCTCGACAATGATTTGGACTACAGTCTCGAATATAGTTTGAACAACAATCTCGACTAAAGTCAATACTACAGCCTCTAGTATAGTCTGGACTACAGTCTTCGATTTCTTTTTTGCGAAATTATGTTATAACAAATCTCTGAGAATCGTATACGGTATAAATATAGAAGCCGAACATAGAGTGCATGATTAGTAAACACTTCAGAAATTACACTCACATGTAAAGACGTATTTCAAAAAAGTAATTATTTATTTTCCACAATTTAAAAAAAAAAGGTGTGAATAGTGGCGTTATATCACAAGGAAAATATTTTCCTATATACCAAAAATACCAATATTTTTCAAACTGTAGCTAATACTACCAACCTACTACTGTGCCGCAATTTTTCTATATTTAGATCAATAATTATTGAAACAAAAAACAAATTTCAGAAATGATAATCAAAATTATTTCAAATTACACATCTGCTAAAACAATTGATAAATATATAACCTATAGAAACTTGCGGGGTAGCAAACAAACATTAACTCACAACAACAATAAAACAAAAATAATCTATATGATTTTAGTTTTTAAATCCAATTCCGCTTAAAAGTTTCGATTTGTATTATTTATATTATTATTATTTATATTTAGTGTGTCTACAACTGATAACACAATACTAATAAACGCTGCAGCGGCTCAACCTCTGTGGTTGACACAGTCGATCAGACCCACACACACACTCTATACATACATACATTTGTACATGAAAGTCAACGGAGAAATTATTCTAAAGGTAAGCTTCTAATAAAAAAATAAATTAAAATCCAATTTAGTAGCGCGTTTAAAGCTGTGCAATTCACAACACTCAAGTGAATTCTAACTAAAAAAAGGAAAGGAAATTTAAATTTTTCCACAATTAAAAATACAATAACAATTTCCAAAAATAAAAAATTTATAATACATTATAATAAAAGAAATAAACAACTTAATTAATTAAAAAAAAAGAAAAATGAGTCTTCTATTAAGAGTATTGGGTACAATTTTAAATGTCATTGCAATTGTAGTAAATTATATAGCAAATTTACTAGTGCCTCGAATAAAACCTACATATCCCCCCATCAGAAATCCAATATTAAAGAAACCCATAACGGAATTAAGAGAAGATTTAAGACAGAAAAAGGTTTGAGTCAAAATTTGTACCCTTAAAAATGTTTTGAAAATTTAAATGTAATATAAATTCTATTCTTAGTTAACTTCCCAAGAACTGGTGCAAATATATATAGAGCGTATTAAAGAGGTCAATGCCGCGCTCAATGCAGTTGTGCAAGATCGTTTTGAGGAGGCCATTAAAGATGCCCAACATGCCGATTCATTGATTAGTAAGGCGGATAATGATGTTAAATTATTGTTGCTGTTTCAACGTTATCCGCTCTTGGGAATACCTTTTACTGTCAAGGAATCGTGTGGTCTCAAAGGTCGGTATTTGTTTTTTTGTTATTTCGCGATATGTAAATATTTAAATTATACACAAAGGGACAAGTTTGTTGTTGTTGTTACTCTACTGACGCTTACGCTGTCGTTGCTGATAAAGTCCAATTTTTGCTTTTTATTATTGTTATTGTTGTTGCCGTTCAACGACGGCAATACAATTTAATAGTGACAATTGCGGTCAGTTTTGTTTTCTTCTGCTTGTGAGTTAAAGCAGAATTAACGAGAGGTGAAAAGTTGCTATATTGTTAGTGTCTATTAAACGAGTAGAAAAATAAATTAAAAAAATCTTTAAGTATGGATTGAAAGTACCCTACATTAAGTATAAATAGGTTACTTGTTCGTAAAGAAGGAAATATGAAAACCGTTTCCGATGGACCTTTTTAATTTGAAGCTGTTTATGAATTAAAAACAAAGTGTCTTTTGAGTAGAGTTATCTGATCAATTGATCAAAAATGATCGCTCTCTTTTGTCAAAAATTTCCCAATTTTCATAATGCGGCAATTCTAGGAAAAATTGAAAGTGAAAAACTGTATTTGTATTTGAAAATCGAATAAAATTATTCGAATAAAAGCCATTATAAGAGATAATTCAGGACATATTACAAGAATCATCCTTTTTAATTTAAAAGTTTTCGTTATTGTTATGAAAAATCGATTCAAATTATTTGATTAATCCATTAAAATTATTCGATTAATTATTCGATTAATCGATTAAAATTATTCGATTTATCGATTAAAATTAAATTGAATTGTTTGAATAAAAAATTTAATATAAAAAATTTTAATTTTTTTTTTTTAAAATATTCGATATTCGAAAAAAATTATTCGAATAAAATAAATAATGAGATAAAAATTAAGGATATCTTAAAATAATAAAAATATTTCAATTTAAAAGATTCCATTTTTAATAGAAAGATACAATTTTTATGAATAATCGATTAATATTATTCTATTATTCGATTAAAATTATTCGCTTCAAATATTTCAAATAGTTTATTAAAATTTTTTTATTAATCTTTTATCGAATAATAAATTTAAAATAATAAATTTATCGAATAATATAAATCGATTAAAATGTTTCGATTAATCGATTAAAATTAAATTGAATTGTTTGAATAAAAAATTTAATATAAAAAATTTTAATTTTTATTTAAAAATATTCGATATTCGAAAAAAATTATTCGAATAAAATAAATAATGAGATAAAAATTAAGGATATCTTAAAATAATAAAAATATTTCAATTTAAAAGATTCCATTTTTAATAGAAAGATACAATTTTTATGAATAATCGATTAATATTATTCTATTATTCGATTAAAATTATTCGCTTCAAATATTTCAAATAGTTTATTAAATTTTTTTTATTAATCTTTTAAAATGATTAGTTAAATCGCTAAAATTATTAAAATTTATCAAATAATATAAATCGATTAAAATGTTTCGATTAATCGATTAATTTTTTTCCATTAATAAATTTAACTTAACTAAATAAACTAAATAAATAAAAAAATTATTGAAATTGTATTTATTTATTTTCATCTAAAAGTAATCGATTAAAATTATTCGAATAAAAAACGTTATAAGGAATAAATTCCGGAAATATTAAAACAATAACATTTTTTTCAATTTAAAAGTTTCCGTTTAATGAAAAAGAAAACTTTTGTGAATAATCGATTAATATTATTCTAATAATCGATTAAATTAATCGATTGATCGATAACAAATTTTTCGATTAATTTCGATAAATCGATTAAAATTTTTTCGACTAATCAATATTAATCAAATTGAAATGGTTGAAATTAAAAAAAATATTTGTATTTAAGAGAATTCAATATTCGAATAAAATTATTCGAATAAACGAAAAATTAATTCAGAATATCTTAAAATAATAAAAATATTTTTTAATTGAAATTTAATTGAAATTGAATTAAAACCCATTTTTAATAGAAAAAACAATATAATTAATAATCAATTAATATTATTCGAATAAAATTATTCGCTTCAAATATTTCTATTAAGTTATTAAAATACTTTTAATAATCTATTTTAAATAATTAGAATAATATTAATAAGTAAAAATTATTCAATTAATCGAATATTATTAATCGATTAATATTATTCGATTAAAAGTTTTTTATTAATAGATTTAAATTAAGCGATTACGAATGAATATAAAAAATGGAAAACGAAATATTTTTATCTAAAAATAACCGATTAAAATTATTCGAATAAAATAAAATTATTCAAATAAAATTGTTTCCATTAATATATTTATATTAGACCCTTGAACCAACTGAATACAAAACTAATTGAAGTTTCCGTTTAATAGAAAGAAAACTTTGTGAATAATCGATTAATATTATTCGAATAAAGTTATTCTCTTCAAATATTTCGATTAATTTATTAAAATGCTTCTATTAATCTCTTAAAATTATTCGATTAAAGGAATAGTATCAATCGGTTTAAAATTATTAAGCGAATAATATTAATCGATTAAAAGTTTTCGTTTAATAGATTCAAATTAAACCGATTATGAATGAATATAAAAAATGGAAAAAAATGTTAATCTAAAAATATCCGATTAAAATTATTCGAATAAAACACGTTATAGGAAAAAATCAGGGAATATGAAAACAATAAAAATATCGGTTAAAACTTTTAAATTAAAAAAAAAATAACATTTTTGTGAATAAAATTATTCGATTAATCGTTTAAATTTTTCGAATAAAAAGTAAAATGAGGAAAATATTAAAATAATAAAATATTTAAACCACAAATATGCCATTAAAAAACCGATTTTTAATAGAAATAAAATTGTATAAATAATCGATTAATATTATTCTATTATTCGATCATTTGCTTCAAATATTTAATCATTTTGATATCAAATGCACAAAGAATTAAAAGTTTGGCTAGAAACTCATAACAACGCATCATTATACTGAAGTTACGCTGAAATCTGCCAAAATTCAGAACAGATAAGGGCAAAACGTTGTTTATTTTAATCAATAACTTTAAAAAACACCTGTTGTTATTAAACGATCAAATACTCACGGCTGAATTTCAATCCAACGTGTTTATTTGTGATTAAAATCAATGTTTCACCTCATTCTAATCAGTTTGGGTATTTGTTCGTTGGACTCTAAAATAATGATTATTTTGATTAGGAGTTAAACTCAAAAAGTCAAAAATCAAATCGAGTGATTTATGGATTCAATATTTATGAAATCATGCAGCACAGGTGTCGATAGAACAGTTTTTGATAACCTTGACTCTTAATACAATACTGTTATCTTAATTATACAAATTTTTTAGGTCTCTCCTTTCGGGGTGGTAGTCTGAAACGTAAACACGAAGTATGTCCTCAAGATAGTGAAGTGGTAAGCTGGTAAAAGCGGCTGGTGGTATACCACTCCTGGTATCCGCCAATCCAGAATTTTGTTTTCATTTGAGGCCGATACACATGTAAATGGAAAATGTCTAAATCCCTACGATTTAAGACGTACATCGGGTGGTTCCTCAAGTGGTGAGGTAAGTAAAATATTGCCTCTAACTAGTTCCCATAATAAAAAATAAAAATCTTTTTTCATTTTAGGGTTCTCTAAATGGTGCTGGTGCTACAACTTTTGGTGTAGCCTCAGATGTTAGTGGTTCCATACGTTTGCCAGCCCTATTCTGTGGTGTTTTTGGTCATAAACCCACCGGGGATTTGGTATCAGTGCAAGGTCATTTTCCCTATAGTAATACAGATGCCCAATTTGCCGACTTTCTACAAATGGGTCCTATAACCCGATTTGCTCAGGATTTACCTCTACTAATGCAAATAATGGCAGGAAAAAATGCTGATAAATTAAAGTTCGAGGAGGGAGTCAAATTGGATGACATAAAGGTAAATTTGAAAATTATCTAGAGTTAAAAATTCTAATTACTAAACCTTTTTAATAAAGATTTTTTACACATACTCCATGGGCAACTTTGTGCATATACCAGCAGATTTTGAAATCAAATTAGCCATTACCAGAGCCGTTAAATGTTTTGAAAAGGGAGGCTTGTACACAGAACAGGTGGGTTTTTAGCGCCTTTAGGGACTCAAGAACTTAATTATTTATTTTTTATTTTATTTTAGGTTAAAATACCCGGCTTTCAAAGTGCCGTAGAAATGACTTTGTCACATTTAGTCAGTCTTAAAGGCATACCCAGTGTAATAACACATTCATCAGTTGAACGTCCCACGCGCCTGCAAATTATCAAGGAATTGTGTAAAAGTTTAACCGGCAATTCAAAAATTACCGCTATGCCCATCATAGTGGAATTAATGATTGAAATGAATGCCTTTCTAACAGATGAACATAATGAGAAATTAAGAATGGAAATGAAAGAACTTAAAAAAGATTTAATAGTAAGTGATTCCTAACACAATATCCAATAATATAACTTTTAAACTTTCTTTCTATTCCAGCAACTATTGGGTTCAAATGGCGTTTTATTTATACCCACCTACCATAAATCTGCGGGATTTTTCAATGGCTGTTCGGTTTTGAATATAAGTGGTGTTGTTCTAATGCTTATGTTTAATATTTTGGGTTTCCCCGCCACCCATGTACCCATGGGCTTAGATCGCAGAGGCATGCCTATAGGTTTTCAAGTGGTTGCTGCTCCTTATATGGATAAATTATGTCTACAAATTGCTGCTGAGCTAGACGGTGCCTTTGGTGGTTGGAAGGAGCCTTTGTAATCGAAATTTTGAATGTCAAAGTTGTTACTTTTTTACTTGTTAATTTAGGGTTATAAGATGAACTAATTAAAATATTTATTGAGAAAAAAACACTTATGAGCAGTGTTAATAGATGTGGGGATTTTCCCCCCGAATTACGGATATCAAATATTTTTGGGCACAGATTTTCATAAGTAAGAATTTGGGGATTTTCTTAAAATTTACAGATTTTTATTCAATTTTACGCTCTTTGTATTTTTTGTTAAAAAAGAACTTTTTGGATAGGATTTTTGAGGGACTACATTTAGAGCTTAAGATTGGGAAAATGAGAATGTTTTCTGGAAAATGAGTGAATGTTTTTCTGGCAACACTGATTATGTATGATAACACAGTAAATAAATTTTTATAGAAAAAACAATGTTAATTTAACATTATTGGTTGTGAAATTGGCTATTTCCAAAGCGAAGAGCTTTGGTATATGTCACCCTAGCTGCTGAGAACATTAAGAAAACTAGTGATGCCATTTTGTTTAAAATAAAATAGAAAAAAAGAATTGAATGTTTAATAGATAATAAAAACAAATCTATTGACTTCTTTCTGAGCTAATCAAGTCTACAAACTAGTCTACTCGCTACCCTATTGTCCAGTCAATTGAATAGTCCATTGATTGCCTACTAAAATCTATTGATTATTGAATAATCTATGGACTAATCTATTAACTAATTTACTGAGAAATCTATGGGCTAGTTTAATAAATAGTCTATGGAATAGTTAATTGACTATTATCTGCACTAGTCTTTTGAAAAGGCTAAGGCCTAGTCTATAGACCAGTCTATTGATTAGTCTTTCGATTATACTACGATATACTAGTTATACTATACTAGTAGTTAATAATATAAACAAGTTGGAAAGTATAGTCAGGCTGGACCTACTATATGACATCAATTAATTTAAAATGTAATTTATTTTTTTAGTAAAATATTTAGAATTGTATTGTTGAAAAACTGATTTTCTGAGAGTGGCTTTATAAGGGGAGATTTATGTCTATATAAAAGTTATTTATGCTGAATTTCATCGTGATATTAATAAGCCAAGGCAATTTCTTAGGAGAACTTTGTATGGGGGCGAAGAAGTTCGATCATTGCGAAAATCGACACAATTAGGGTTAAGGTTATATGGGGCTATTCTGATTCTGAGTAGATTTGTATACTACTCATACTTATGTATATCAGCACAAACCCTAAATACCCTTCCCACTAGTAGAGTTGTACTTAATTTGTCGTGAGATTACTGCGGTATTTTTTGATATCAAAAAGTGCTGCAAAAAGTACGAAAGTAATGAATTATCCACCCCTGAGTTTAAATATTAAACTACCACTTTTTCTCTATTTCGACTGCTATTCTCTCGTATCCAAGCTATCTCTCGAACATATGGCAGAGATGGAAGTTTCATTATAATTGAAATTTCTAAAAATATGAATTACTAGTGTTCAAAAATAGACTTTTCGACTTTTTATATTTTTGTAAAGTGTTTTTTCGACTTCTTGACATTTTGCGATTTAAGAAAAGTCGTCTTTTCGAACTTTTTAATATCGATTTTTGGTGAATTTTCTACTTTTTCAACTTTTCCGGACTTAAGGAATTTTATTTGCAAAATCGATTCTTCGACTTTTTTACAAAATTGTGAACAAGAAAGCCAACTTTTCTACTTCTCCGAGAAAAAGTCGATTCTCCGATTATTTTAAAGTCGATTTATGGAACAATGCTAATTATTAATCAGATTAAGATAGAAACCGAGACATAACACCAAACCTATACAAATATGACAAAAAGGAGACAAGTCAGATCATATTTATACATATAAAGTATTAGAACTATAATCAGTCCCTACCATTAAAAAAACAGGCGCGATTTCAAAAATGTACATAATTTTCCAACCCTGTTTGAACACTGTTGCTTTAATACGGGTTGGTTGATTAGTAGGTACATATAAAAATTTATCAGTTACCCCGAGAGTAACTAGTACATCGTTTGGACAGTGTTACTTTCATCGTTCCTCACATTTTTAGTTCTTTATTTACTTTGTCTGTTGTGGTTGTAGTTTTTATACTACCGGTATCTTGTCTGGAATTTGTTTTTATTTTTGTTTTGCAATTGCGAATACTTTTTTTCGCATCTTGTATATAGAAAACATGGAATTCTTTTTAAGATTAATACAATTTATGGTGAAAATAGTTTATTTACTAGTACACTTTGTCTTAAACTTAGCACTGCCTCGAAAAAAGACACAAACTATACCACCGATTAAAAACAAATTATTAACTTTATCATTAGTGCAATTAGTGCAGCGTTTAAGACTGCATCAAGTAAGTTTAATGTTTATTTAAAAATAAATTTTATTTTATAAAAATATAGTTGAGATAGAACTCAAGTCTCTCTAACTGCTCACAAAAATTTGTTTTAAATATAGATAAATAATATTTGGTTAATTTTATGCAAAAAAAAACGTTAAAACGTAAA